TCCACTTCCCGACCACTTCTACCTTCACTGATCATGCTGAGGGCTCTGTCTTTCTGCAAGCTCCAACACCTGGGGGCCTCGACTGGGTCAAGCTTCGCTAAGTGGCAAGATCCCAACTGTCTCTCTCTCTTTGTTTAAGCCCACTTTCTAAACCTCAGACTTGGTTTAATCCCTCTCCATCACTCCAGGCACAGCTTTCTAAACCCAAATTTTGCTGATCAAACTTGAGCGAGACTTCCCCAAACACAATTTTACAGTTTTAATTGGGTAACTGCTTTGTTTGTTTGTCTCTCCTTGTATGGCTATTACTACTAGTGTCACTATAAGCATCATATAATAACTTTTAGGCAATATAATAACTTTTATGGTCAAGCCAGTTGCCATACCTCTCTCCAAACCTCATTTACTCTTCGTTCTCCTCAACCTCCCCATTTGCTCTGCAGCAATGCTTCTTTTACCCAAGCCAAAGACCCCTGTAAAGCCCAAAAATCCTGTGGGGTTTGCTCATCAAGGGAGTTACTACAAGGACAATTGGGACATGAGATTGGGAAGTGCTGAGTACAGGGCATTTGAGGGTGTTAGCCTGTTAATGCCAATTGACCTGGCCTGGCTCAGACATGCTCTGTTCCTGTGATAAGTCTGAGGCACATGACAATTTAGCTTGGAAATGCTGAGCAACCCTGCCCACTCAGATGTGCCCTCTAAATCTGTGTGTCTGGGTGTTCAGTCGATTCAGTGGTTGGAGGAACCCAGTCCAATTGAAACTAAGCCCTTCAAGACAGCTCCATTGGGGGGTGAGGACTTGCAGAAGGGAGAGAGATACAGCTCTGTATGGAAACTAAAGCAACACAAGCAGTACATTGATAGAATTACAGAGACCCCAGAAACGTAACTCTAATAAATGAGTGCACCCCAAAGGGATAGGCAAATTTGGTAATGCTACAGGATGCTATACATTCTGGGGTGCTCCGAGAGACTGTCAACCACTGCTTCTGAGCCCATGAGATGAACAGTGACTGGTTGGAGTTCATTGCCCTGAGCACCTGAGATGAGCAGTACTTCCCCATGTGTTTGGCTACCTTGAAGGAGACTGTTGCTGAGCTGGATCCACAAATTGAACCACAGGACACTGGCATAGAGATGTAGCCTACTTTCTCATTCCCTGGCTCATGAAGCACCTGGCGAGCAAGAAGAAGCAGTTAAACTGCTGCCTCAGCAGGTGCCATGTGCCCACCGTGCGCAACTTCGGGCACCTGAAGGAACTCTATATACCTAGACATGGTCAAGAAGTACTTGCTATGCTTCATCATATTTGCCTGCACCCCACCCCACAAAACATCTGCAAAGCCTGGGTGGAAGAAATTCAACATGTGGAGGCAAGCCTCAGCAAGTCCCTGCCATGGCCCATCAGTGGCCAGGGGAACATGATCAGAAAAGCACTATCAGATTATCTTCCTGCATGGCAAGATGCAGGGTGGCACCCAGCCACACAAGAGTAAAGTACAGAACAGGTTGTACTAGATACCAGCCCCTTACTGGGCACTCGGCTCTTTCTGCCCCCTCTTTGGGGCCACTCTCCACCCCTCCTTGGGGTCACCTTTATGCCCCTCTCCAGGACTCCCTGCTGCCCCATCACCAGGGATAACTCTATGGCCCTTCATGGGCTTGGGGTCTTACACCCCCAGGGGCTCAGGTGCCTGGCCCCATAGTTTGTATATTCTCCACTATATAGTGGGGGCTGAGGTTTTAAGGTTCCTCTACCTGCCTGTCACTGGGGAAGATAACTGGCCTGGCATTTCCTGGGGGCTCCCATGCCACTAGGAGCCCCACCAGGCCACCTTTCCCCAGCAGGGTGCAGTTTCAAGTCATACCCAGGACCAGGAGCCTCCAAACCATCTCCTGTAGCTCCTACCCTTACCTCCAAGGTGTTCCTGGAGCAGGAGCTCCACAGAGAGATGTTTCTTCCCTGCTGGTTGGTCACAAACTGCTCTCTCTCTCCAGAAGTGGGGCCCCATACCCTAACTTCCTGACACCTCTGTGAACTTCAGGGATTTCTCATTGCAGGTAGAAGACAGGGGGGTGAACCAGCAGTAACGATCCCCCTGAGATGACTGTGGGGCTCTACATTCACAGTCACAGCCACTACATGGTCCCCAAAGGGACCCTGCCATCCACGTCCTTATGTCCAGGATGCTTGGGAAGTCTTAAAGAAAAAAAAAATGGTGTCCACCAAGGAACAGAGGAATGGTGTGGGGGGACTTTTGAGCAGACTATTTAAGGATCCTAGGGGTAGAAGGGCCGTGACACCTTGGAGACAGAGTTGGGGGTTTGTGTGGAAATTCCAATGTTATGGGGGACCATTAGTTATCTTGGATGCTGGAGGACAGCTCTGCAGCTTCTCCTGTGAGTGTAGGTGTACAGGCGTTCATTTTCCCAGGAGAAACTCTTCTGGGAGTGATCTCTACTGCCTTGGATATGGGTTATTTTTCTCGTGGAACCATATTTGCTCAGTGATAAACCATTTGTATGACTGTACAGTTGTGTGGTTTTTACTGAAAGAAGTGATATTCTTCTAATACCAGTATGTGAATTCTGTTTTCATATCTGGTCATCTGATCTGTTATAAAATATCTCATTTCAATCTCTGTGTGTGTGTGTGTGTGTGTGTGT